GACCAGATTTATTCTTATGGAAGATGATGCTGAGGCCATCCGACTTCAGCTTAATTCTGCAGGAGAGTCAAAGAAATAAAACCTAAAGTATAGATATGATGTGTCTTCATTTCTCTTTAGAGCAGAAGATAAGAAAAGCCTTTTCATAAATTAAAAAGGGGGGCAGGCCACAGTGGCACATCAGGCTAATCCTCTGCCATCCTCTGGTGCCAGCATCCTTTAAGGGAACTGTTTAAGTCCCAGCTGCTCCACTTCCCATCCAGTTCCCTGATTATGGCCTGGGAAAGTAGTAGAGGATGGCCCAGAATCTTGCGGCATTACACCTGCATGGGAGTCCCAGAAAAAGCTCCTGGTTCCCAGCTTCAGATCAGCCCAGCTGTGTTGAAGCCATTTAGGTAGAGAACAATGGATAAGGGGCCTATCTTTGTCTCTCTGTAAAATCTGCCTTTCCAATACAAATAAAATAAATAAATACAATACAATACAAATAAATTAATTAATAGAAATACAAATAAATAATTGGAAAGGCAGATTTATAGAGAAGGAGAAACAGAAAGATCTTCCATCCACTGGTTCACTCCCCAGGTAGCCACAATGGCTGGTGCTGAGTTGATCTGAGGCCAAGAGCCAGGAGCCTCTTCTGGGTCTCTCAGGTGGGTGCAGGGTCCCAAAGCTTTGGGGGCATCCTCTACTGTTTCCCCAAGCCACAACCAGGGAGTTGGATTGGAAATAGAGAATCTGGGACACAAACCAGCACTTGAAGGGGGAGAATTAGCCAATGGAACTATTGTACCAAACCCAAACTAAATAAATCTTTTTAAGAACATACCAAGGGAGGGCTTCTCACTGAACAGTTACAATGCCTTCATGAACTATCAGCGGGCCTGGGTTCAGGTCCCTGTACCTGTTCCTGGCTCCAGCTTCTTGCAAATCCTTGGCAGCTCAATTACTTGGGTTCCTCCTCACCTACATGGCAGACCTGAGTTGAGTCCCTTGTTCCCAGCTTTGGCTTTTGGCCCAGCCCTAGCCCCAACCATGTGGGCACTTGGGAGTAAACCAGAAAATGGGAGGCTTCTCTCTCCTCCCTCCTCCCTCTCCTCTCCTTCCCCCATCTTCCTCCTTCTCCCCTCTTCTCTCTCTCTCTCTACTTTTCAAATAAACTAAGTGTTAATAATGCTTTTCAAGGTTTGTTCATGTTACATGTTACTAAACTCTGCTATCAGCTTTGTATTTAAACTTTGCTTAATGTAAACAAAATGACATCATCAGATTCCATAACTAAAATGTGGGACCATCAAGTAACATGACTGTCAAACCCTAAAATAAAGAAGCCTGGTCCTGTGTTCTCTGCATGGCTGCATTTGTGTTCAGCAGAGCGCAGATCCTGGAAGGCTGCGAGTCACCCCAACACTTGGGTATCCCTCTAGGCTTTGGATCAGGCCGTCTGCCCTCTCCCTGCTGCCTGCTTGCTGGCTGTTGGAGAAGGACTTAGGAATGAAATGACCAAAAGGTGGCAGCAGGAGGGAGAGGAGCAGCTGTAAGTCCACAAAGAGTCCCGGCCCACCCCGGCCGGCAGTTTCGCAGAGGCAGGGTTCCAGAACTCCGGCAGGAAAATCCCTTTTCCTTCTATTACCAAGTAAGAATTTCAAAATGATTGACAGAAAAGTGAGTTGGCTTTGCCTAAGGCAACATTCTGAGGGTCAAGGGCTTGGGCCTTCCTTTAGGTTTTATGACCCAATTTTTGAAGGTCTGCTCTGCCTTGAGGTCAGTCAGAAGCCCAATAAATGCCAACTATCTTTGATACTTCCTGACAAGAAACCAGAATTTTTTATTGATTAGTTTATTCTTGAAATAATTTTAATGTAAATTTATTTTATTTTCTTATTTGAACAGCAGATAGCTACAACAAGAGAGCTCCATCTGCCAGTTAACTACTTAGATACCCACAGTGGCCAGACCTGGGGCAGGCCAGAGTCAGACCCATGTAGGTCTCCCATGTGGCAAGGACTCAAGCCAATGGGAGCCAGCAGCTTGCTGCCTCCCTGGATTTCCATTAGCAAAGAGCAGGAATCAAAAGCAGAACTGGACTCGAACCCAGGCATTGCAACAGGATATTTAGCATTAATGACTATAGATGCAAAGCATTATACAAACAAATTTTAATTTGGGGTGAATGGGTGCTGTCACGGAGCACGTTAAGAGCTGCTTGCCGCAGTGGCATGCCCTATGGGCACCAGTTTGTGTCCTGGAGTCTCCACTTCTAATCCAGCACTCTGAAAATATACCTAGGGAATTTCTCTTTCTCTCTCCTCCTCTTGGTATATCTGACTTTCCAATAAAAATAAAATAAACCTTAAAAAAAGAAAAAGAAGATACACCTTGGGAAGCACTGGAAGATGGCTCAAGTCCCTAGGCCTTGTACCCATGCATCTATGTGGGAAACCTGAAAGAAGCTCCTGGCCATTGCAGCCATTGGTTGAGTGAACCAGTGGATGGAAGACCTCTTCTCTATATATAATTCTACCTTTCAAATAATAAGTTTTCCAAAAAAATTCCCATAAGAGAGCAGGTTTCAGTGTAACACAGAATTTGATTTGCAAATTGAAATGTTTCTGTGCCTGATAGCATATCAACTTACCTAAGATATATAATGATTACAGTTGAAGATTTTTAAATTATGTGTTTATTTTATATATATACTTTTTTTTTTTTAAGATTTATTTTTATTATTTTTTCATTGGAAAGGCAGATATACAGAGAGGAGAGACAGAGAGGAAGATCTTCCATCTGATGATTCACTCCCCAAGTGAGCGCAACGGGCCGATACTATGCCGTTCCGAAGCCAGGAGCCTCTTCCGGGTCTCCCACGCGGGTGCAGGGTCCCAAAGCTTTGGGCCGTCCTCGACTGCTTTCCCAGGCCACAGGCAGGGAGCTGGAAGGGAAGCGGGGCTGCCGGGATTAGAACCGGCGCCCATATGGGATCCCGGGCGTGCGAGGCGAGGACCTTTAACCACTTGCGCCACCGTGCCGGGCCCTATATATACTTTTTTAAAGATTAATTTATTTTTATTGGAAAGTCAGATATACAGAGAGGAGAAGAGACAGTGAGAAAGATCTTCCATCTGATGATTCACTCCCCAAGTGAGCGCAACGGCCGATGCTCTGTTGATCCGAGGCCAGGATCCAGGAACTTCTTCCAGGTCTCCCACACAGGTGCAGGGTCCCAAAGCTTTGGCCCATCCTCAACTGCTTTCCCAGGCCACAAGCAGGGAACTGGATGGGAAGTGGAGCTGCCGGGATTAGAAGTGGCACCCTTAAAGATATATTTATTGATTTATTTTAAAGATTTATTTCTCTTTATTGGAAAGGCAGATATACAGGGAGGAGGAGAGACAGAGAGAAAGATCTTCCATCCAATGATTCACTCCCCAAGTGACTGCAATGGCTGGAGCTGAGCCAATCCGAAGCCAGGAGCCAGGAGCTCCTCCGGGTCTCCCAAGTGGGACCCTATGGGATCCCAGCACATGCTAGGCGAGGACTTTAACCACTACGCTATCGTGCCGGGCCCCAAATTCTGTGTTTAACTGAATATGATCTTTAAAAAGAGAATGTTTCTGGAATGGGGATTGTAGAATATTGCGTTGAGTGACTACCAGGGACAACCATATGCCATACCGGAGTGCTTGACTCAAGTCTGAGCTTCCAGACCAATGTCCTGCTGAAGAGCCTCCAAGGCAGCAGGTGATAACCCAGGTAACTTGAATTCTGTCACCCATGTGGGAGACTCGAGTGGAGCTCCTGGCTTTGGCCTGGCCTATCCCCTGCTACAGTAAGCATTATGAGAGTGAACCAGCTAATGGAAGATATTCTCTCCTCTCTCTCTCTGTATCTCTGTACCCCTCTCTCCCTCTCACTTTGCCTTGCAAATCAATCTTTTAAAAAATGGTTGCATCCATATTGAATATTTCTATTAGACTATTAATAACAATTTAAAAATCTAGAGAAAGTTTACAAAATTGATAATTTTTAGATTAGTAACTGGGAAAACATTTAATATATCTTAATCAAAATAAAAACTATAAGACTGTATCTATAGTTTTCTTATTTTCATTTTCTTATAAAGGAGGATTAGATAGGAACTTTGTTAATGTAATTGTATTTAGATGCTGCACCTGCTGGTGATTTTTTTTCTCATCTTATTTCCCTCTTTGTTATAGGAAGCTGTTTATTCAGTAACTAAAATTCAGGGATGGGGAAAAAGCTTGAAATTTGCCACTTAGCACAGATCTCAAGACTTCTCTTCTGGCAAAGCCCATACCCTCCTCCTTGTAGTATTTGATCTTGACCTTCAAGCTACCAGGGAAGGTGGGAAAGGGAGGCGATTACAATGTCTCCTGCTTCTGCCCTTGAAATCAGCTCATAGCTAATGCCGTCCACTGTCAGGGGGACAACGTTCAGGGAACGTGGAATCCCGATTCCCCTGGCGCCTAGCCTTTCCAAGCTGGCAGTTGGAAAGCAGCATGGCAGCGTGGTCCAGTGCAGCCATGTCATACTGTCAGGTGCACTTGAACCTAGACCCCAGTTTTGTTCCACATGTAACCTGGGACTGTTCTTAACTTCTTTCAACTCAGAACTATCTGTGGAAAATGACCCCATTGTCATCTCTCTCACTGTGTTGTAATGAGGAGTCATAGAGGAAATCTAATAAAAATGTGTGGTGACTTGTCAAGTGCCTATGAAATGTAGCCGATTTATCATGCTTGACTTCCTAGACTTTGGGGCCCTTCGTGGGCAGCACCCCACATTTATTCAATCAGTTGATAAGTTTGTTGTCTTGTTTTGTTTTGCCTCCAATGACAAAGTATGAATTACTAGTCCCTTTTGGGGACCAGTGCTAATCTGGAATCTGCTGTCTGGAGATCCCTTCTGCCTATGAGGGAAGCTGCCCTGCTCTTTTCCAAGTCAGCCTGCTGTAGTAACCTCCTCCTTTTCTTTTACAGATATATGTAATCGACAGTGCAGACAGAAAAAGATTTGAAGAAACAGGTCAGGTAAATCATTTTTTTTTCTGTTAAAATTGTTTCCAAATAAGTGGGTATTCATTAATCTATCTTGTAAATGTGTGAGGGTAAAAGGTATTAGTTTGTTTAACCTTTATGGTTCAAACAAGATAAGCAGGCAAAAATATCAGTTTTCAAAAAAAAAAAATCAGTTTGGAGTCCTTTAAATATTTTATGATTGGGCCTGGTACAGTAGCCTAGGGGCTGAAATCCTTATCTTGCAGGCGCTGGGATTCCATATGGGCACCGGTTCTAATCCCAGCAACCCCACTTCCCATCCAGCTCCCTGCTTGTGGCCTGGGAAAGCAGTTGAGGACGGCCCAAAGCCTTGGGACCCTGTACCCATGTAGGAGACCCAGAAGAGGATCCTGGCTCCTGGCTTTGGATCGGTTCAGCTGCTGACGTTGCCACTGCTTGGGGAGTGAACCATTGGACGGAAGATCTTTCTGTCTCTTTTCCTCTCTGTATATCTAACTTTGCAATAAAAATAAATAAATTCTAACAAAATAGTTTATGATTACACCCTTTTAATCAAATTGAGTACATGATATTTAAGCAACTGGAATTTAGTACCATACCCCAAAACTCTTCTTCCAGTTTCTTCCCATGTATTTCCCAGTACCCACTTAACCAATCCAGAGGTAACTCAGACACATTTGAAAGGATGGGAAGAAATGTACCAGCCAAGGAGGGTGGGAGTTTGGGGGGAAATCCCAGCCTATATGAAATTGTACCACATAATTCAAAATTCAAAATAAAAAAAACATATTTAAAAAAAAAAAGAAATGTATCAGCCAAGCTAAACCCCTCTTATTTGTCAGACAGAGGTAAAATCCACCCTACATCCCAACAGGGTTTCCAGTGCAGGCTGCACATCAACATGATCTCACGGTGTGATTTGTGTACAGTCTTGGAAAGGAGGAACGGGCACAGCCATCTTACCCAGAGCAGATCCCTGGTAGAAGTGAGGGTGATGTAGGCTTAGATCCCATGGCAGTGCCTGGCTCTAGCTCCCAACTAAGGCAGACCCTGGGCAGCTGGGATGACGGTTCTGGTCATTGGGTTCCTGCCACCCATGTGGGAGATCCACACTGATTTTCCAGTTCCCATCATCAGTCTGGCCTAGCTCCCGCCTTTGTGGGCATCTTGTAAATGGAGGCTCTTCCTCCGTCTCAAAGGAAAAAATATACATGCATGTATGTGTGATCAGAGACCTGGTCAGTTAGACTAGTGACTTATTTTAGGATGTAGTCTGCTGAAATGGATGCATGTATTAGAGAGAGATGAAATGGAATTATCCCAAAAACAACTGCCATTTTTAATTTTTACTAATACACCTGCATACACATATATTTGTATTAAATATATTTTGCAGATAATAGCCTTGAGTAAATTTAAAATCTCTAACTGCTAGTTAGATTTTCCCCTGAACTTGTTGCTCAGAGTGAGATCTATGGAGCACCTATAGCACAGTCACCCAAGAGTTTGTCAGAAATGCAGATTGCCAAGTCCTGGCTCAGACACACACCCCCACCCCAGCCTCCTTCTGAGTTGGCCACAGGGAATCCGCCAAGGGGATTTGTCCCCAAGTTCTGGCCTGAGAGGCCCTGCTCCTGAAGGTTGCTAGTTGATATTGTAACCACTTGTCATCTCTGATCAGAAGTGCTGGTATCACAGATGTCTTCCTGTCCCCTTCCTCCCTCCCACCACCGCAATGACTAGGAACTCGCTGAATTACTGGAAGAAGAAAAGCTAAGCTGTGTGCCGGTTCTCATCTTCGCTAACAAGCAGGACCTGCTGACGGCGGCCCCAGCCTCTGAAATTGCAGAAGGCCTGAACCTGCACACCATCCGTGACCGAGTCTGGCAGATCCAGTCTTGCTCCGCTCTCACGGGAGAGGGCATTCAGGTGAGAGCACTGGAGGGCCGGCTCACCTGGGGGCACCTGGGTAGGAATGATATGAGATAGCCTTTGATTGACAGATGGCCTGCTGCAGGATGTGGGGAGGGAATCTGGCTCTTTTCTGCTTAGCAACCACTCAGGTACCATGAAGTGCCCCAGCAAAGCCACTGGAGAACCACCCCATGCAGGTGAGGCACCACCCCACTGTGGAGGAGGCCAGAGCAGGGAGCTCTGAAGGTTACTTCTTACCCTAAGATTCTTTGATGATTGTGTTGGGGTTTAGGATGCACTGGCGGCGGTGAGACCATCACGAATTACGCTAGGTACAAGCCAGGTTTCCACTGCACTCACAAGCGTGTTTGTTTGGCCTCCTGCTCTGCCCTCTGGGTCGGTGTCTTGTTTCTAGCCACTGCTTTCCCTCAGGGGGAGGTGGGTGAAGGCATGGAGGAGCCCCTCACATAATATTCATTTGGGACAGAAGACGTTTATTCCAAGCTCTTCCAAGAACAATGAGCAGGTTCAGCTCCGGGCCACCAGTCCACAGCCCACCCCATTCCCACCCCAGGCCTGCTTCACTCCCCGCACCAACCTTGCTAATGCCACCAGAGAGGGTCCCCAGCGCGGTGGGAAGGGTGGGTCTGAGCCACCGGGCCTCACCCGAGAACATTTGTCCAGTGGCTCCAATGCCATGGCCGGCTTGCTCCTGTCTGAGCCTGGCGGATGAGGACGTCAAGCTGAGGTTGGATTCTAGTTCCGGGTTCCTCAGCTTATTTCCGCTTCCGTTCTGGTGGCCGGCATCTCTTTCTCCTAAGACATCCAATATCTTAAAGTGACCTCACCACTTTTGTCTCAGGCAAGTAATTACTTCTTTGAGGTTGGCATCCTGGTTTCCCTTCCGTGGCCACAACAGCCCAGGCCACCTGTGTGCGTTGAGCGCTGCCCATCACCCTCTCAGCAGTCTTCAGTGGGTCGGGGCATGGTGGGCATCTCCAGCAGCCGCCCAGGCTCAGGGCTGCATGGCCACAAGAGACTGGGAGGCTTGTGGGTCTCTGTGAGGTTTAGCTTTGGGGAAGTTTTGTTATTGTAAGTCTTCTTTATATTCTTCCTTCCTAGATTCTGCTTATAAAAGCAGTAGCTCCTCCCCATTAACTAGATAGAAGCATCTGAAATCAAAATGTCTTTTTGCCGGTCTACTCCACATGCGAACTAACCCCCATGAGTAGCTTTGTTCCGAAAGTGTTGCCTTTGCACTTATGATTGTTCTGTCAGGATTAAAGTTAGCTGGCTTTCCTGCCTCGCGCACAGCCCCGGGGCAGGGGGTTGGAGGGGCACCCCAGTGACTCCCCTCGCTGACTCTAGCTGTCTCACTTCCTGAAAAGCTTGACCTTCAGCGTGGTGTTCCTGAGATATGGCGTCCGTGACCCAGGCGAGGCAGGGGGAGACAATGTTAGTGTCCCGCGTCAGTATAAAGGCTGTGGGCGGCCTGGACCCTTCAGAGGGTCCACAGGGCAGGCCCAGAAAGTGGAGAACACCTCGAGGCTGGGGTAGTGAAGCAGAGCCGAGAGGAAAAAACCGGAAGAAGGTGGAAGTCCACCCTGTCCCCGCCCACTTTCCACTTGGCCAGAACATTGAAAGAAAAAACCGAGCTGGGATTTGAGGATCTTGTATCCTCAGGAGCCTGAGGGATGTGAAAGACAAGGTTGGGCTGAAGGATCTGGAACCAATAGGGGAAAAAATGGTGATAAAAGTCAAGGGCGCTGCTCCCCAGGGGCCACACATAACCACCTGCCCAGCTGAGGGGAGACGCAAGTACTGACTGAGCTCCTTGTGACATCCAGGGAGTGGAAAGCCAACGAGGGCCGTCCAAGAAGCTGCATTGACTAAACTGAGGGGATTCTATGAGGTGGAGCGGGTAAGACACCCCTCGGAGCAGGGGCTGTGGACTGCCAGGCCCACAGAAGTGACAGGAATGAAACCCAACAAAGAACCATAAGGAAAAAAAAGTGATTTCCTGTAGAGGAGAAATAGTTTGAAGGTCACTTAATTAGTTTAGTAGATAGTACCATGGTGTACAGAATTGGGTAGTTAAGACTGGGATTTCAAGGTTAATGAGATTAGATTATGGTTAATAGAATGATATAAATTTAGAGAATTTAACCATTATTTGAAATGGGTTATTTAATAAAAATGTTAATTACAAAGAGAATCTACTGTCTGTTGTCCTTTAATGGTAACCTTTGGGGACGAGAGAAAGGTCACACAGCTTTCCCAAGGAAATGGTTTGCGCACTCAGGCCCTTGTGGGCTGTGCCTGTCCCGCCAAGACATTCCTGTGACCGGGCTCTGGCCAGTGTCTTGATCTGCACCTGAAAAAAAGTCACTTATGTTGCATTCCTTTCCAGAACTGCTTAGTTCAAGTGCAGGCCTTTAATGTTTCCTGTTAATTAAGGCTTGAAAGGATTCCTAAAACTCAGAGATTTCACTAAGAAAAAAATGTCCACATCTAAAATCTGATTGCTTGGAGTTTATGTCCACACAAGGGTGTTTGTAATAATAATAAACATAATTTCTGGGATTCCCCGAATTCCTGCTTTACTCCCCTCTCCCCAACTAACTGCCCCACCCCTCTAAATCTGGCCCATGATAGGCAAAATTATCAAAATGATAAGATGCTAAATAGGTTGGACAGATAATGTGCAGCACCACAGTGCCAACGGCCCTGAAAGAGAATGTACCAAGATTTAAAAAGAGAAAGCGCTTGTTTCTGTTGGCAGGGCAGGTTGAAGACACGGGTCTGCTGGAAGGTGACCCCACCCAGTGTGAGCCAACTCCTCAAGCGGAGGGCTTTGAGACTCCGGGGGTCCGTGTCTGGCAGTGAGTGGAGTGCAGGGTGCGTTTCCAGGTCTGCTGCACCCGGTGTTCCCCGGGCAAGGCTGTGTGGGGTTCACCCTGTGTGTTTCCACAGCCCTGGCTGTGCAAGGCCACATTGCCTTGCTTCAGGGGCAATGCCACCCAGCTCCCTGCTATCCCCCAGCTGGCGAGGCCTGGGAGGCCAGCCACGCAGGTTTCCTGGAGAACTGTCAGGACAGAGAGGACAGAAAGGGCACAGGAAGCTGACAGTGTCGGGCTAGCCGGGTCCCACTGCCAGGAGGCCCACGGCATGGGGGAGGGCACAGTCCCAGCTATGTTAAGTGGAGGAAGACGTGTGGGACAGAAACCGCCTAAAGCTATCCGGACAGCCAAGGCAGCCACTCCCTTGGTGTGCTGAGCCTGGGTGTTCCTGGTTGGTGCAGGGGGCGTTGGCCCTGTGCCCCTGGCTCTTTTCTCTGCCCTGAGTGTCTAGAGGACGGTGGACAGAGGACCTGGCTAGAGGCCCAGGAAGGAGTAGGGAGACCCTTCTTCCTTCATCTGCAGACACGGCTCTGAACTCAAACCTCAACCCCACTGGTTATTGTAATTTTGGATATTCTGCTTGAATTTATTTGGGGAAAAGAGACAGAGTTCCTTTTTTACCGGTTCACTTGCCAAATGAGCACACAATCAGGGCAAGGCCAGGCTGAAACCAGGAACCTGGAGCTTACTCAGGACTCCCGTGTGGGCACAGGTGCCAAACCACTTGGGCTGTCCTCCACTCCCTTCTTGGGTACATTAGCAGGGAGCAGGATCAGAAATGGAGCAGCTGGGACTCCAGCTGGTTGATACTGCAGGCAGCAGCTTAAAGCTGCTGTACCAGTATGCCTGCCCTGCAATACAGGTTGAACCTGACCTCTAGCCTTAGTTACTTTGGAGAGCTGCCTGCCCCTGTGGCTTTGAACTGACAGAATGAGCGCTGGCTGTTGCTCTCCAGTACCTTTTCTGCTTCCATCCATCCCGCATGCCCTTCCCGGTCATGGAGCTGCCTCCCTTCCATGGGAAAGCCGTCCGTGCTCTGCACATGAGGGCAGGATTTGCAGGTCAGTCTGACAGCTTGCACTAGGCAGTCGCTGAGCCAGCCCCTTGACTTGGCTGCTTTTACCTCCGTCTCGGTGCTTTGCCCGAATATACCAGTAGACTCCCAGTGTATTTTTTAAATGCCACTTACACGTCTTACTGGCTACAGGTATCCATGGAATTCCTCACTTGCTCTAGTTCATTTTTACATTTTCAAACCTTACTGGGAGTAAGAAAGCAAGCTCGGGACATAGGATTTGGCTCCCAGTGGGCTGTTGTGCCCTGTATCACCTGAAAAGAGGTTCAGAGCAAGCCACATGTTTAGTGCTCCCCATCCAGCTGCTCCTTTTTTTTTTTTTATAACTTTAATGACAGAAGCAAGTTGTGACCCTGGGAACTTTATTTTTTTAAAGCTTTATTTATTTTTATTGAAAGGCGGATATACAGAGAGGAGGAGAGACAGAGAGGAAAATCTTCCATCCGATGGTTTACTCCCGAAGTGAGTGCAACAGCCAATGCTATGCCAATCTGAAGCCAGGATCCAGGAACTTCTTCCAGGTCACCCACGCGGGTGCAGGGTCCCAAAGGCTTTGGGCTGTCCTCAACTGCTTTCCCAAGGCACAAGCAGGGAGCTGGATGGGAAGCAAGGCTGCCAGGATTAAAACCGGCAACTATGTGGGATCCCAGGTGTGCAAGGCAAGGACTTTAACCACTATGCTATCATGCCGGGCCCAAATCCAGCTGTTCCTTGACCCTGGAGGCCAGGGACTACCATGCTCAACAAGAGTCTCTGAGCAACACATGAAGGGGCTATGTGGCTTTAAAAGAAAAGCCCACTTGAGAAGCATGGCCACTACCTGCTTCTAGTAGTGGATGCACAGGATGGAGGTCAAATTAAGAGGAGCAGTTCATGGGCCCGGCGCGATAGCCTAGTGGCTAAAATCCTCTCCTTGCACAGGCCAGCATCCCACATGATGCCAGTTCAAGTCCCGCCGCCCCACTTCCCATCTAGCTCCCTGCTTGTGGCCTGGGAAAGCAGTCAAGGACAGCTCAAAACCTTGGGACCTTGCACCCATACAAAAAACCTGAAGGAAGCTCTTGGCTCCTGGCTTTAGATCGGCTCAGCTCTAGCCACTGCGGCCATTTGGAGAGTGAATCAGCAGATAGAAGATCTCTCTGTCTCTCCTTCTGTGTAAATAAGCCTTTCTAATAAAAATTAATGAATCTTAAAAAAGAGAACTAGGAGGAGGAGGGCAGTTCAGCCAGGGCCCACTCCTCCCACGTGGGGCTCTGGGAGAAACTGGTTTCCACCCCCCGGGTCAGGGCGGCCTGCTATCTTCCCCAGTGGTGAGGGTGAGGGAGAATGTTGTGACCTGATGAAATCTGTTTGTGCTGCACAAGGCCAAACACAGCTCGGTACAGGAGCGTCAGTGTGTCTTTTTGCTGTTTGTTATTGAGCAGAAGCTAATCGCTTCAAAATTCAGTGTCAGCGAGCTTGGGCGGGGGAGGTGTCTTGGAGGAACAGGGTGGGGACTACTGGCACCATAGGATTGTCGTTCCCCCAGTGAGGATCAGATGTGCAGAAAATTGGTCAAACCAGTTTTAAACAACAAAGGTTCAACCGTTAAACAAACCTCTGAGTTCATTTCCTTGTCTAGAGGCAGGGCAGTAACCTACTGCAAGGAAGCCACCCCCTTGGCGAGTCTGTGTGCTGAAGAAACCAGATGACAAGGAGGGCTGTGAGCAAGAGCGCCCTCCCCCCCACCCCACTGCACTTGACCCTGAAGGGAGTGGGCTGCAGGCAGAGTTACCAGGCCAGGCCTATGCATGGACGGCCAGGTCACCAGGCTTCCATGTCTATGGATGGCCAGCAGCCTAGGATGCTTGAGAGCTAGTGGCCAGAAACAACATCTGGCACCTTCAGGACTGTGTGGCAGAGCTGTGGCTATGAGGCGGGGCGCTGCTCATGAGGGACTGGGGACAGGCCTTAGGCATAGCATGAGGATGCATGCTTGGCATATGCAGTTTCCATGTCACAGTGACTGGGTTCCACTCCCAGCTCCAGTTTCCTGGACCACTCCAGGTCCCTACCATCACATGGGAGACCAGGGTGGAGTCCCTGGCTCCTAACTTCAGGCATTTGGAAAGTAACCAGTGGATAGGGGCTCTCGCTCTCTCCCTCTCTCTCTTCAAGCAAATAAAATAAATATTTTTTAATAAAAGGAGGCAATGAAACATTGAAAATTATGAAAGTTAGAAGGCGGTAAACTGACACTGCTCCTCCCCTGGTGAGGTGGAGTCTCGGCTCCCCTTGTGGTTGGAGGTAGAATATTTCCCATCCATGGCCCCTGTGTGTGTGTGTGTGTGTGTGTGTGTATGCACGTACACATAAGTGCAATGACCAAGGTGTCAGAGCACAGACACAGGAGTTTGACAGCACAGCCTGGTGGCCTACCTGGACCACACACCATTCTGTGCCTTCATTTCCCATGTCTGTAACGTGAAAATAATAGCTACTTCACAGTGCTGTTAAAAGGATTGTTGTATAAGATGCCAGTGGGTTGACTGTGGGCCAATCAGGCTGAATTTCTATGAATAGAACTTGGAACGGGTCTGAACAGACCTTCCCCTCGGGTCTTCCCCTCCCCGGTCAGAGTTGGGATGGGGAGCAGCCTGCAGGAGCTTGTCTGTGGTTTTGATATACAAGACCCTGGTCACCAGGTCCTGCTGCCTTCCGCCTGCCTGAACCTCCCACCTCTAGCTCACAATGAGAGAGGTGTGACCCTCTAGCCGTCCCTCCCCTCCACACCAGATGCATTAGGTCAGAGCTGGCGCAGCACAGGGCCGTGTCCCCATTCCAAGGAAGGCTCCCCATCCAGCCTGCCAAAGGACTGAGGTTGAGCTGGTGGGTGCTGGTTTGAGTATCCTCTGTTGGCAGGACTGTGAGGGGTGGCCGGGCCAGACACTGCTGCCCCTCAGCAGGACTCTGCCCTAAAGCCCTACTCTGCCTCCATACGAGATACCCAGGGAGAAGCTGCCTCTCTGCCTTGGGTTCCTGCAGCTGAGTAAATATTTTCCCTATCTCCTTGCCTGCATTGGTGTTCACTTTCATCCAATATAACATCCCTCCCTAATCAGCCATAAAAGAAGGAAAGAGACAGGTGCCCACGTGCTGTGAGGACACTGTTCTTGCTTTCTCCCCAGAAGAAGACAGTCTGATGAAATAGCCAGAGAGAGGGTGGGGGCTGCCCCAGGGAGGGTGGGTGGGTTCCTGAAGCGGAACCCAAGTGCTGAGCTGTCCAGCTGCACGGCAAAGAAGATGCTTATCTTATTCAGTCCTCTTTTATTTGTAAAATCTTTTTGTCTACTAGCAGGTGATTTTTTTTTTTCCTGGAAACCAATTAGCTCCTAAAATTAAACATGCTTCTCCTTAAATTAATCCTTTTCATAAAATGGTCTTAAAATTGGCCTTGGCTCTTACGAGTACAGTGCTGACCCAATTATAACAGCAGAGGCTTGTGGGGTTCCTCCCTCAGCCCACCTGAGCACCCAGCTCCCCTGCCCCCACTGCCACCAGGTATCCCCTCCCCCCCACCGGCTTGGGGGCCCTGAGCTTGACAGAGGCGGTGAGGGTGGTCCTGGGATCGCATTGGGTTCTCTGATTTCCCCAGCTGCTAAGACACTGGTGGCAACTGGTGAGGCTTCCAGCGGCGTGAACTCAGGTGCCGGCTGCTGGTTCTGCAGGGCCGCATTGTTTGTGGGATTAATATTCCCAGTGGCGGAGGGTGTCAGCTGATCTTTATTACTGTAAGCCGTCTCAGCTGTTTGGGTGCAGCAGCCAGACCCACAACCACAGTTAGTATGGGCCTCCAGTGTGCAGAACTCCAAGGCAGAGAAAAGGAGTTGCTAGGTCTGAATTCTGTGCTGGGCTTCTGAGGGCATTCCACACAGCCCCCAGAGGTGAGGGAGGCTCCGGGGGCCTGGGGAGCATCCCAGGTATGGCACCAGAGGGGCATGAAAAACGAAGTTGTATCTGAGACAGGCCTGGCCCCCACAAAGAAACGTGCTGCCTGCCAGGTGGCTGTCAGCGTTGTGTAGTTTGTACTTCTTCCCTCTCCAGTCTTCTAAGAGAGGACACTTTCAAGGTCATTGTGACTTTACGGGAACCTTCTCCCAGTCCCTCTGTAGCAGTAAGGCAGGCCCTTTTAAAGCTATCAGTAGTGCTGCCGGACCAGAGATGCACATCACCCCACTGTGTGTCCAGGAACATGCACGATGCACAGTTTGTTTCTCCAAAAAGAAAATTTATCTCAAGTGTGCCGCACACATGCTGGGGCTGCAGAGGGGCGCTGCTTACCAAGCATAACACCTGACAAAAGTGCACCTACAGAGAAAGCCAGAAGTGGCTGAAGATTCAGACCAGGCTGGGCATCCCCCCACATCAGGCCTTTGTCCCTGGTCAGGCAGGTGGACCCCTGAGGCCCGCAAAGTAACTGGAGCAGCTGATCTGAGAGGGAGGACCCCAGGCACCACCCCCCCCATCCCAGGCTGGATCCCGCTTGCCTTTCCTGCAACTAACAGCCTCTCTCTGCCCATTTCCCTCCAAGGATGGCATGAACTGGGTGTGCAAAAATGTCAACGCCAAGAAGAAATAAAATCGAGACCAATGGAGGCGCAGGAGCTGCGGGAGCCGGATTCGGTCCTGAAAAACACTGATTTGCTGCTTTCTGACCAAATGTTTTTCCATCTGTGTGCAGCTACAGCTGTTTGAAGAGAGGGAACAACAACACAGCTCGAAAAGAATGCCCGTCCCAGCAGTAGGTTTAACTAATCTCTGAGGTTCAGTATCATTTTTCAAATAAAGGAATTATACTATTTCCTCTGCATAATTGAAATAGTATTAAGTGTCTCAGAGCACATGATTAGCAAATGAGATCTTTTAAATGAGTGAGAGATTGCATTGCAGTTTAGACAATTCCAGTGGACTCTCGTTATTTTGTTTGTTTGTTTAAAAAAAAAAAAAAAAGGAAGGAACAAGAAAAAAGAAAACGGGGAAACAGCCACTTCTGATGACTTCCTGCATTCCCTGACCTGCCCTAGACATTCCCTCCATGCTCTAGAAAACCGTAGGCTGCCTGGGCTGGTACTGCTCCGGGACGCCCCAGTCGGTGCTGCCGGAAGCAGCCGGTGGGGGAGGGGAGAGGGCGAGCAGGTGATTAAACTGTCTTGTTATGCAGGTAGGAGACTGTGTGTGTGATCCTCGCCCCTTGGACAAGGTGTGAGGAGGGGGCGGAAATCCCTTCTTGCAAACAAGTCAACGCATACCCCTTCCCCAGCCCCCTCTGCCAGCCACACGGGGAAAGCAAATTCTTACGACTTCTGACTGTAATGACATCTGGAATGTCAGGAGAGGTGGGAGGTTTTAATTCCAGAAAAATTACAAGGTCCTTAAAAAGCCCTCACACGGCGGGGTCTGAGCTGGTGTGCAAGGCTTTCTCCGGCTCAGCGGAGCAGGGACAGCCAACTCAGATTAGCTGGCTTCTCCGAGGCGGCCTATGGAAGAGATTTCTAAAGCTCAAAGAATCCCATGTTTAAATGATCACAATAGGGCCGCTGCTATCAGATTTTAAAAATAAATGGAGCTTTGCCATGAACCTGCTCCGCTGAGAAAAGCCTGGCAGATCGATTTTTAGAAGAGATCAATTTTTACAGTGCTGGGGACCAGCTGGTGCGGGATGCGCGTGGGCTGGGCAGATAGGCTGGGGTGACCAGGTCACACCCAGCTTCCTTTGAGGAGTGAGGGGAAGTGTGTCCTCCAGGGGATGGACCGGAGGGGGACCAGCTGAAGCTTCCTCCCACCCCACATTCCAGAAAAAGCTTGTTTTCCTAAGTCCTGAGAAAGAAATCCACGGCTACAGTAGGTCAGCGCCACGTCCAGTTCCCGAATTCAGCTGCCCTGGTGCCTGAGCTCGGGGGTTTCAGAGAATGACTAAGACCGGCCAGTGCCTGGTGGGTTCCACACCCACCCAACCCAAGGGCCCACTCAGCACTCTCCCCAGCACCACTGCTCCCCATCCCCCTACACCCCCCAGCTTTTTCTGGCCCAAAGACTGAGCTGGGTAAAAGTCATTAACACAGCCAGCTGGGAAAAGGTGCCCCTGGGGTGGCTGTGGACAGACCTGCCAGGACTTGCAAAAACAAAAGAAGGAGAGGGCTTTTTAATTTTTAACCATTTCATTGGCTGCTCCTTGATCGGCCCAGAAAAGAGGGTGCTCTGGCTTCCTGAAAGCTGCTGTCTGCTTGAATAGCAGCAAAGCCCCTGCTCCCAGCCTGGGCACGCGGCTTCCCAGCTTGGGAATGCCTTATTCTGTCCAGAGAGTGACCAGGGTGCCATCTGAACTCAGGGATGCCTTCTTTGGGAATTCGGGCTGTTCAACAACCCCACAAGGTGGAACCCCTCGACGGGTGGGACTGGGAAGGGGGGCAGGGTAGGGAAAGTGTGCACGGGGCTCACACCACCAGCCTCACAAGAGGCAGCAAAGGCCCAGTCCGCAGGCCACCCCCCTCCCCCCACACACACCTCTGCTAACTGCCTCTGTCCGTGGGCACCTCGGCTTTCCAACGCAGGACTCCAGAGTCATGGGGGCTGTCACACACTTTCATGTTCCCTTGGAGCCCTGAGGGACTCTGAAGAACTCTGTGGCAGCATTGGAAAGCTCCCATTTGTAAAAAACAAAACGCTTGCAAAGTCCCCTTTGCTCTCCCAGCACCCCCTCCTTGCCCCATGTATCCAGGACCAGCAGCCAGAATTTGAAGCTGGAAACAGGAGACACCCCCTCCCCCGCTTCTGCCCTCTTCCCGTCTGTCCGCCCTGGGGGCGTCTGGTTGTGCAGGGGAGAGGGGGGTGGGGTGCAGAGGGCAGGCAGGGCCTTGGGCGGGCGCGCTGGGAACGAGCTGCCCTTGTGGGAAAACTCCAGCCCCCTCCCCTGCAGCCGCCGCCGCCGCTGCGCTCCGGGCCCGCCCTGTGCGGCCGCTTTTGGCTGGGTACTCTGCGCCCAGTGCAATGCACCCTTTCCCCTTCACTCTCCCTTGGTTGCCATGGAAACAAGGGTGTCATTGATGTGGGCTGAGCGGGGGAACATGTCGGTGCACAGCTGAGAGCTGCCGATCCTGCCGGCAGAGAGCAGCGCGCGGGGTTAAGCCCGTGACAGCCAGGGCGAGCGCGGGGTCCCCGCCCGGGCCTTCCTCCAGCCCCGCGTCGCTCACTCCCGGGTTTTGGACCAGTTTCTGCCTTCTCCTCGGGACTAAGGTGGCGGCTATTTTTGTGCTCTTCTGCGCCCCACCCTCGCTGCGGGCCGCTCCTTATCCGGCTTGGCCTGGAGAAGCGACGGCCGGCTGGCCGGGGACTCGCTGCGCCATCCCCTGCCCCCCACTCCGGGCCGAGCTGGGCCTGGATCCCTCTGTCCCTGCCGTCCCAGGAACCCGGCTTCACCCCCTTTTATTTTTAGCTCCGTGCTCCGTGTGGTTTCAGGGTTCAGTGCGAGACATCGAAAGGTTCTTTTTTTAACGTCCCTTTTGAAAACGATCATCAAAGGAAGGGACGTGGTGTTCGGTCATGTGGAAAACTCAATGTATAATTTAGACGTCTGTCAAAAAGCCGACAAATAATATTGCACCTAGGCGCAGGCCTCGGGGCGGAGCTTGGATGTTTTGTCCTTTAGAGGCCCGCTTGGTCCAGGTGCTCCAGATAACATCACTCCCACACAGTCTCCAGCACCGGCACCCCTTGGGGGCCCTCCTACGGACAGGCACGCATGGCCTGGGATCCTGGGGCTGCACTGGTTCCGCGATGCCCTTGGGGAAACAGGCTTAGGTCCAGCTGGGAGACTTGTGTGACCCAGCACCTAACATTCTGTCCTGTGGCCACAGTGGGTGGCCGAGTGGGCAGCGTCCCAGGGCCCCGCCCTCTGAGACAGAGGAGCTGATCTCAGGCTGCCTCCCCAGGGCAGCCTCACTTGGATACAGGCAGGTCAGCAGGCAGCTTACCCCAAAGAGTCCAGCTGACTAGAAGGGAGAAAGAAGGGGTAGGCCTGCCCAGTAAGTGGTAGAATCTTCACTGCTCCTAGAATTTCAGATAAGTGACATTTTTTAGTCAACTACACCCCGTGCAATATTTGAAGCATCCTTATAATACTAAAGCAAAAACAAACACATGGAAAACCCAGGGCAGACATTGTGACACATCAGGTTAAGCAGCTGTTTTGCCTGCCCATGTCTCACACTGGAGTCCATGCCCTGCTGTTCTATGCTCCATGTAAAGCTTCCTGTTAATGTGCCAAGATAATGTTCCAAGGACTCACCTGGTCTCCTGCCACCCACAAATTGGAGACCCAGATGGAATTCCAGGATCCTGGCTTTGAAATAGCTCAAGGGCCAGCACTGGAGCATTTGAGGAGTGAATCAGGGGATAGAAAATCTCTCCTTGGACACAGCATAGTAGCCTAGTGGCTAAAGTTCCCACCTTGGATACACCAGGATCCCATATGGGCACCAGTTTGCATCCTGGCTGCTCCATCTGCCTTCAAACTGCCTTTTTGTAGCCTGGGAAAACAATCGAGGACAGCCCAAAGCCTTCGGGCCCTGTACCCACGTGGTAGACCTGGAAGAAGCTCCCGACTCCTGGCTTCAGATGAGCTCAGTTCAGGCTGTGGTGCCCATTTGGAGAGTAGATGGAAGGATTTACTCTCTGTCTCCTTTTCTCTGTAAATCTGATTTTCCAATTTAAAAAAATCTTGAAAAAAATTCTCTCTACCTTTCAAATACATAAATTTTTTTAAAATCTACTTTATCTGAAATTCAATTTATTTTAAATTGTTTATATTTATTTAAAAGGCAGATTTGTGGAGAGGAGAGACGAAGATCTTCCCTTCACTGCTTCACTTCCCAAACAAGCACAATGGCCAGAGCTGAGCAGATCCAAAGCCAGGAGTCAGGAACTTCTGCATCTCCCATGCAGTTACAGGGTTACAAACTTTGGGCCATCCTTTGCTGCCTTCCCAAGCCATAAGCAAGGAGCTGTATGGAAAACAGAGCAGCTAGGACACAAATCGGCACCCATATGGGATCCTAATGCTTGGAGGTAGAGGATTAGTCAGTTGAGCCGTCATGCCAGGCCCAATGTGAAATTTTAACTGACCATCCTAGCTCTTTGTTGTTTCACTGAACTTTGCTCTGTTAAGGGACAGTGCAGCATCACTGGGAGAGGTATTCTTGTGAGCCAGAGAGACCTGGGTTCAGTTTTGCCCAACCTTAACCCAGCCCTGGGATGGTGAACAAGCCACCTAACTTTCAGTCCAGCCTCTTCATCTGTAAAATGGAATTAAAGTGTAAGGAGAGGTAGGGCAGCACCTAGCATACTGTGTGCCTCCAGATCTTACCTGTAAAATGAGCTAACGATTATCTCATGGAGTTACTGGAGGAATCTGTAAAATTATGTAGGTAGGGGCATGCATTGTGGCCAGGTGGGTCAAGACCCTGCTTGGGACACCCATATTCCATACTAGTTGGAATGTTGCCTCTCCTGTTTCCAGTCCAACATCCTACCTATGTACCAAGGAGACAGCAGAAAATTCAAGAGCGTGGTTCCCTGCCACCCATTGTGAAAGACCTGGACTGATTTCCTGGCTCCTGGCTTTGACCTGGTCCAGCTGATGTGGGCATTTTGGATGTAAACCAGCGGATATGGAAAATCTCTTTCCTTCTGTTTCTTCCTCTTTGTCTCTCCATCACCCTTAATGTCATTTGAAAAAGACTGTGCAGACACAGGTGCCTGGTAGAAGCTAAATCACTGGTAGCTATTATCATCACTGGCAGAAATTCTGGAATCCAG